TGCTCCGGTCGCAGAGCTGACAAACTCCCACAGAGAGAGGCTCCAAATAAAGTGAGGACTTTTACATCATGAAAGGTTAACGGCCAAATGGCATTACACAGCATCGAAACAAGACACAGTCCGTGTGTTGTAGCTAGAAAATAATTTCAATGACTGTACAGCCAGAGGAGAAAACCCATCACACCTCCTGCAGGGACGGGGTCAGTGACGGGGAGATTTGATTTTCACTTTGTGTTTCACCGTCACTGTGAATTATTGTTTTAAACAGATTAACAGAAACAGGACATACATGATGCCTGTGTACACAGTACAAGCATGGGAAGCGATGCTTTGGTAGGTGGGTTGTTTCCAAAGCACAGCTAATTGGAAAGCAAAACGGTTTGGGCTGTGCGTAGAGCCTACTCCTTCACTCAGACCCAAAGGTGCCTGTGTCACAGACGAGAGCTGCACGCACCAGCTGACCCGCTGCGGTTTTATTCCTACTGATGCACCTTACCTTGTGCTCAGCCTGAATCATGGAATGGGTTGCGTTGGAAGGGACCTTAAAGACCATCTAATTCCAACCCCCCTGCCATGGGCAGGGACAACTTCCACTAGACCAGGTTGCTCCAAGCCTCATCCAGCCTGGCCTTGGACACTTCCAGGGAAGAGATGTCCACAGCTTCTCTGGGCAACCTGTTCCAGTGCCTCACCACCCTTTCCGGGAAGAATTTCTTTCTGATATCCAATCTAAATCTCTCCTTTTTCAGTTTAAACCCATTACCCCTTGTCTTGTCCCTACCTGCCTTGGTTAAAGTCCCCCCCAGCTTCCTTGTAGCCCCTTCAGGCACTGGAAGGTGCTATAAGGTCTCCCCGGAGCCTTCTCTTCTCCAGGCTGAACAAGCCCAACTCTCTCAGCCTGTCCCCATAGCAGAGGTTCTCCAGCCCTTGGAGCATCTCCGTGGCCTCCTCTGGACTTGTTCCAACTAGTCCACATCCTTCTGATGTCATGTTCCCCAGAGCTGGACGCAGCACTCCAGGTGGGGTCTCACCAGAGCAGAGTACAGGGGCAGAATCCCCTCCCTCGCCCTGCTGGCCACACTTCTCCTGATACAGCCCAGGATACGGTTGGCTTTCTGGGCTGCCAGCGCACACGGCCGGCTCATGTCCCGCCTTTCATCCCCCAGTCCCCCCAAGTCCTTCCCCTCAGGGCTGCTCTCTATCCACTCTCCACCCAGCCTGTCCCTGTGCTTGGGATTGCCCCAACCCAGGTGCAGGACCTTGCACTTGGCCTGGTTGAACAATGTGGACATGTTGCTCAATCTACGTGAACAGTCAACAGTTCATTTTTTTAAACTTTAAGGCAGAAATAAGGAGCATCCCAGTGGGAGCTTCACCCAAGTTCCTCCACTGCCAGGAAGAACTCACCCAGGAGCAGCCTGCGCTCCCCGGTCGGAAGAGTTTTTAATCGACTCCCCGGTGAGCAGATACCAGCACAAGCGCTTAAATGGGTCTCTCACACACGAGGGGAAGCCAGGTCCCATGCTGCAGCTCCTGCTCCCAGCATTCCACCCCCCGGATACACTGAGCAAGCCTCTCGGGGACCGGCTGAGCAGCCCAGGGGCCAGCGATCTCCTTGGCCAGGGACATCCAGAGCTGAAGAAAACTCAAACCCATATTTCTAACCAACACAGGCAAAATCCAGTCAGAAAACAAGACTATAAGTTTTAGTGGGCTCTTCCAAAGAAATCCTCTAAATCAACGAGTCAACAGAAGCCTTAAAGAACAGCAGCGACCCTTGAGCTGTGTACACACGGGGTACGGCTCTGCCGGTGCGGCCCTCCCTGTCACACAGCCCCACCACCCTCCACCGTGTATTTGGTGGCACAGGAACCGGCTCAGGCTACAAACCCAACATGGAAATATTCACTCATCTTGGATCTTTTCCTGGCAGGTTATTGCCCCGAGTTGACTTTTCAAGGAGCGTGACAGCGTCCACACAGAAGGGACTGGGTCCCTGCAGCGGGGGACTGAGAGCGGAGAGGGCCTGGCCAAGGGAGACCACCCTGCCACCTGGGACGGCCGTTTCACAGCCTTGGAAAAGGAAACTCCCTCTTTCCAAGCAGGCGGGTTAAACCAGCTCACGTGGGCCTAAGCCCACAGAAGGGGCTGCATGCCTGGAAGGAGCTGGGCAGTTGGATTTCCCTCCATCAGAGGCAGAGAGCGAGGCCAGCAGCAGTTCCGTGGCCTGCCACAAAGCTCAGCAGGCTGTCCCAACAACATGGCTCGGGGCCTTCCCTGAGAACCCCCTCTGTGGGAAGCACATCAGCTCCTGCAGGGCATCGCTCCATGAAGCCCTACGATTTACAGCTGTTCAACTGTAGCAGTAAGAGGGAAAAGAGAGTAAAAGGTCAGGAGTCCTTAAACAAAACATCTACTCCCTTGCTCAGGGGCAAAAGGACCTGTCAGATTCCAACAATTTTCATAACTATTCCTAGTTTAGTAAATAAACAAAACATTTTAATGAGAATCAAAAGACTTCTGTTGATGTAATACACGGCTTCACTCACTGAAATACCAGATTTAAAGTGTGTTCACATCCTACGGAAGCCATCAGAAAACAACAGGCGAGCCAAGACTTACTGGACAGCTGAATAAACCCGACTGTTTTCTCCTAAAGGAACCTTACATCCCTGCTCAGACCCACACCGTCCACCAGCACTGAGGCATCCACTTCCCCTGCGGCTGCTTCGCCATGCCACATCCCAAACTTGCCCCACGTGAAGTATCTTAGAGCCCTGGGTAGTAAAATGCAAGCACAGAAACCTCGCTGCCCTTTCATGCTATCTGGTGGATGCTTACTAAAACTTAGTAAAGGTATTTATCCCACGTAAACATGTCCATGGAGCAGACACCCAGTTCTTTACTCTCCTGAATAAGGGGAGATACCTGAGGTTGCACCTAGGAAGATGTACAACTGGCATGTGTTGAAGCACACCAGGCCATTGATGTGTCCACCGTAAGAAGTTGGGAGTGTCTGAGTTTTCCCAAATATCCGGCTGTTTCAAACATACTTGCTCTAGGAGCCTCCCAAAGAATGAACGCTCATTCCAAAATACACTCCTTCATTTCACTTCTTGTTTGCTTATAGTTCGAAAAGACCTCCGCGCTGCCTGTTACAGAGCCGGGAAGCACCATATGCAAAAAGTGCGCCCAGCATGCTTGTTCATCCTGTTTCAAGAGCAGGAAGTCTGGATTTGTTCCCAACACAAAGCAGTGATAGAGCCCTTTCTGACTCCTTCCTTCATCATTAACATACACAGGTTACAATTTGTAGGGACTCCATAAAATCAGGGGTCAAACAATCTACATTGCAAAGAGGAGTTAAACGATGTAGTCAACCAGCATAAACCAAGAGACAAGTAAAAGATTCCTCTGAGCCACTCCACAAACCACCTGTTGGATGGCTGGGCTCGGTCCATGCAGCAGCATTCTCTCTAGCACCCTGAAGACACGTTACTCTGAGGACTTCTCATGCTCTGCCTCCCTGAACTTCACGTCATGCACAAACAGCCCATGTTTTACATTCCACTCCAGCCAGTAACTCCGCTCCGGGCTCACCTAACGCGACGGTGGATGCATCTGAACTGTGGGACGTGAACCACAACACAGACGTTTTGTGAAATTAATTTAGTCCCTCTGAGATCAAAAGCAGCACAAGTTTTAGGATAGCTTCTTGCTCTGCCTGTTGTGGAGATAAACCATAAGATTACGCCGATCTTAATTTGAATCATCCTCTGGGCTTTGATCTGTTCTGGCTGGTTCATGAACTCAATCCCGCGCGACTGCTTTGCCCCCATCACACCAAAGCTGCACCGAGGCTTGTTGGTGGATGCCTGTCAGTAAAACCTGTGCAAGCAAATCACACCGCCTGGAAAACTGGGTCTCTCTCCCCTCTCCACCAGAAATAAAAATGTAAGCATGTTTTAAAAGAAAACTAAAAAAATAATGAAAGTATTAAAATGTATACAAATAAATGATAAAAAGTCGAAGAGCTTAAAAACCCCCCAAGCAAACAAACCACACCAGACCATTATCACTACACCACATCTGATCTTTCCCAAAGCCCAGACTCTGGGCTAGTAAACACCAACCCATTATAGACAATTCACAGCCAATAATTCTCCAATGATAAACATCCATCTGAGCTTTCAGAGAAAACCTACTTGCCCTCCTCGGCCCTGCCGTGACTGTGTTCCTTCAGGATGCTCAGTCGCAGCAAACCACCCGGCGCTGGCGTAACACATGTCACGACACACTTGGCAGCGAATTTATGAAGAACACCGAAAGACAAGGTCAGCATCGTGCTGGCCCTGAGCCGCCTCCATCCGTTTGCAGATCAGAACATTTCAGGATGGACAGAAGTGAAGAACAAACCACCCTTTACTACTTCTTCCATCCCTTTCCCCAGCTTTTGCAGCTTTCCACTACCCTGTTCCTGCAGCCAAGCACACACATCACGCTGTGCTTCTGCACCAGCTTCACCCCCCTTTTCTCCTCTGCTTAATGCCATTTCAGGGTTCCCAGCCTTCAAAGAAAGAATCTCGATCCATTTTTACCTAACAGTTCACCAGAGAAGGGTCAATCCTCCCCTTTTAGCCCATCTGACCATCAACAGCCACGAGAACTAGTGAAACACTTGCTACCCAACAAGTGTATAAAAGAACTTACAGCACATTTACAGAGAAATTCTAACTTACAGTTCAAACACTCCAAGATCAGAACACCTTAAATTCAAAGGACAGTAGTCTAACAAGGTAAACAAACAAATCTAACGTGAAACAAAACAAAAAAAGCTTAAAACCTCTCCCTGCCTATCTCAGTGGCATTGCAAATGTTTGTGCAGGGAGCTGTTGACTTCCAGAAGAAATCACCCTAGGGCAAAGCTGCCAAGAACAACAAATCACCCTGGCTCACACGGTTTGAGATATTACCCTAAATATCTCCTAAAATTAACGGGTGGATCTCCTGTAAACGCGGCAAAGCTACCGCGCTGGTTGTTTACAGGACGGCAGAGCAAACCCACGCCGTACAGGGGAGAGGACATTAACACTACAAAGTCACATGCTGGAGAATTAAGAAACATCAGGATGCCCAGGCAGTTGGCTCCCACCTCCCTGCCCAACCAGTTTGGGGGGGTCATCCCTTCTCACCCAGCCCCTTCACCCAGCCCATCTCGCTGGATTCCTCCTGCTGTCTCCATCTCCTCCCCCAGGGTCTGCCCTCCTGCGACAGGGGGAAGGATTCCTCCAGCAAGGCAGCACCCGGGACCATACCGGCCTGCTACGGACACGGGTGTCCGAAGGGAGCCCCGGGGGCGGCAGGGTTGCAGCAGGCAGGCCAAAACCAGCAGCTGCAGAGAATTTAGCTCCTAGCTCACAAGGTTCCTCAGAGGGCATGCAAACATTTTTTCCAAAGGCTTTTAACTTTCAAGTTTGGTTTTATTCATGGGGAAAACTGAAAGCAGAGCTCAACAACTCTCCCCCCTCCGCCCCAAATCTTGGTTTGCTATTGCAGAATGTGGGAAGATTTGAAATTAATTAAGTAATTTGTTGGGGGGGTGTGTCTGTGTGTGTTGGGTTTTTTGGCTGTTGGTGGTGTGTTGGTTTTTAAAATGGGCATAAACAAATTTTACGCTCTCAACACCATGTCAGAAACAGTTCATTTTCATTAAAACCTGCCCACTGTAAGTTCAGTCTGAAGAAGACATGAGATGTCTCAGCCCAGCTAGGTAAAAATTGTAAAGCTATAAGCAATCAGAAACGGCATTTTTACAAAAAACTTCTGGGTAACCTTTCTCGCAGGTGGCACTACCAATTCCACACAGAACCTTTTAGCACTGCTCTTGCACACTGGTGCAACCAGAACCCTGCTGGGCCAACTGCTTCCCATTTCCATCTGCCAACCAGCTATGGATTTTTTCGGTCCAACTCCAAAGACAAAAAGGTACCTAGAGCCTTCACGGCAATTTGCCGAGTTAGCGGCGGAGGGATGTTGATGCAAACCAAGTCTACGTCCTGGTGCAGCAAGACGTCGTCAGTCCGACTCGTGTAGAAGGAGATGTTCATCTCCTCTGCCAGCTGTTTGGCCTCCTCTTCGGTCTTCCCCCAGAGCGCTTCGATGGAGAAGCCTTCGGCTCTCAGCAAGGGCACCAGTACCCGGGCGGTGCTGCCGGTTCCAAACACACCCACTCCAGGAAGCATTTTCATTCTGCATTCGGTCAAGCATCAGGCTCTACACGTAGGCCTTCCATAAAATATTTGGCTCCTCAGCTTCCCGTTCCATCCACAGTTCCTAAAACACAGAAAGTTACAAGTCAGTGACAACAAAAGGGCCATTTTGAAACCAAACGCACCTACCTTCTACCCTACACGTCATTCCACATTTTCAAAGTTCCTAATGAACAAACCAACCCTCCCGAAACCTGCCATCCGTAGAGAAACAGTGGTAAGGGGCAAATCTAACGCTCCTGTTGCAGAAGAAGGGTGAGAAAGCTTGGCAAAGCCACGAGCATCGCCTGGGCCTCAAAACTCAAGTAACGTGCTGCGATGACGTAAGTCTCTAAACGAGATACAGGTTTGTGAGATGAGGCAATAGCTTTAATTAAACTGACAGAGAGAGTTGGAAATAATAGGCAAGCTCTTGGGCACGTAAAGCTTTCCTCCGTAATAAACACAGACTGAAACCAACTACTTGGAGCTGAACAATGTTACGGCAAATAGCGAAGCCGCTCCAGAGGGTATCTGGAAATTACATCCTGGGCTCACAGAGCCTGTTTAGCCTGGGGAGGGGAAGGCTAGAAGGAGAGATAATGTCAGTGTTTAAATACATAGGAAACTGCTTTTGGAAAGGAAAAGGGCACTCCTCTACATCCACTGGGGGTAGGTCAATTTTTACTTAACCCAGGACAGCTATAAATATCTCCTTCTCCCCAGGCCGTTCAACCTCCAGGAGCGCAGAAATTTGAAGTCCCATCCTACAGTCACAGAAAGGAGCTGGGACTCCTTCGAGCAACAAGCATGTGTGCGACCCAACGCAATGAAAAACCCGAGGATTCCTACAGCATCCCATTCAATCCCACTCTGAGGCAGTCCGGGAACTCAGGAGCTGGTGGAGGAGCGCAGCAGCAGCAATGGGGGTGCCGCTTTCATCCCACTGGTCACTGCTGTTGAGTTTGCAAAGAAAGCAGACAAGTAACAGGGGCTGTACGAGTCATAAAGCTGTTACTGGTTGCAACATCCTCACGATCTTAAGGCTGCACGACAATCTTTGACAAAATCTACGCAGCAACTACTCAGATTTCTACTCTGCATTAGGGGTCTCGCCCCAGTGACATGAAGGCACTGCAGAGACCTCCTGTGAAAACAGGGGCTGCCCGAGAAGCGTCCGTTCTGCAAGGACCCCAGCAGAGGGGACAGAAATGCTGGCAGAGACTGCGGGTATCACTCTGGGGGGCAGCAAGGTCTCTGCATGAATACAGCCGGCGGAATTTCACCGGTCCTTGAGAAGTTGGAGGTCACCTCCTATGTGAAGCCACTGTTTCCTGTCAAACTGTTCCTCCAGCCTTCTGGCACACGTGTACCTGACGCTCTGTCTGCAGTGGTTGACGTGCACATGGTTCATGTGTCAGACAGCAGTGTGCTCTCTTTACTAAAGGGGACTTTTTACAAGGGCCTGTAGTGACAGGACAAGGGGTAACGGGTTTAAATTGAAAGCGGGGAGGTTTAGATTGGATATCAGGAAGAAGTTCTTCACGGAGGGGGTGTGTAGGCACTGGAACAGGTTGCCCAGAGAAGCTGTGGATGCCCCATCCCTGGAAGTGTCCAAGGCCAGGCTGGATGAGGCTTGGAGCAACCTGGTCTAGTGGAAGGTGTCCCTGCCCATGGCAGGGGGGTTGGAACTGGATGATCTTTAAGGTCCCTTCCAACCCAAACCATTCTGTGATGCTATGACTCTATGATTCTAACTGTGCTTTTACTTCAGTGCAAGCGGGTTGTGTGATAACCCACGAGCCCAAAGCCTCGAGCATCTCCCAGCACGCCTCTGGACAAGACCGGCACAGCTCTGTCCTTCCTGGTCCGGATGCGCAAAGGCCCCGTTCCTGGCACACCGCTTCCCGCAGGTACCGCCCGAGGTCAAAGGCGGCGCTGAGGACTGTGTCAGAGACAGCAGCAGCTGGAAAACCATAGAAAACCAAACCGGCTCTCATGGCTATCGCCGTGCTGCAGAGCTCGGGCAGGGCCATGGCAGCCCCGGGGGTGCCTCTGGCCTGGCGCACGGTGC